TCGAGTTCGAAATTCCTTTTTTCCACAGAATTGCACGGCTGATTGATTTATTTTCAACCTCGTCGTTCAGATTAAAATTGTTGAATATAATATTTAAATAATATACCTACTTAATAATTTAAATTTTAGATCCAGTCATTTAACATAGTACAAAGATTCTGAATTTAAATCTTATCATCATCGATTAATAAAAAAATGTGCAGCGTTAGATTTTGAGAGGTAAAAATTAAATCCGGCCTGAAAGTGAAGGACACATTAAAAGTAATATTTAAATAACTTAGATGTAAACTTCCTCAAGCTTTTAAATGAGAATAATAAACAAAAATGAAACTATTACCACGCAAGAACAAAAGCAAACACAAAGAATGGGATTACTTGAGGAGACAGAAATAATTACTTTCCAAACATTAAAAGGAGTCTCAACAAGGAGCTTATCAGACACTTGAAGACAAATAATTACTCTCCAAAGACTTAAAAAAAAATAAAAAATAAAAAAAACATAAGAGAGACTCACTGGGGAGCTCTGCAACTGAATCGATTCTGCAGGTCTGGGGAGAGATAAAAACTTGTTCCAAATGTAAAAGCTTATCACTCTCTTGTTTCTGAGGTTTCAACTGGATCGATTCTGCAGGTCCCAAAGGTAACAACTTATCACTAACACACTGTATCTAATCAGCCATACGAGCTTCTTTGGCGACAAAAGACTAGACAATCTCTTGATTAAAGATAACATGCATCGGACACGACACAAACAAATAGGCAAAACCCAGTTGAGCTAAAACCATCAACAAAATTCACAACCCGGTTGTGCTAGAACCATCGACAAAATTCTCACTCTGATCACCAATTCTCCCTCTTTCTCTTCCAAGATCTTCTATCTTCATTCAGCCAGCCTTCATTGAATTGGCTTAACGCAAAGAAGGGTTTAAAAAAATAAAAAAATAAAAATTCACGACCCGGTTGTGCTAAAGCCGTGAACAAAATTCTCACTCTGCTATCCAATTCTCTAGCTTTCTCTTTCCCAAGATCTTCTATGTTAGGAAAATGTGTAATTGGCAATCTGTGACCAAATGACCTATTTGTCATGCTTGTAAAGTCAGGGACTAAATTGTAAAGGTCTAATAGTTCAGGGACTAGAGCTGCAATTTAATAAATTCCATAGCATTGGTCTAGGGTAAAGTGGGATGCTTTGAAGATGAAAACGGCGCGTTGATTTCGCTAGAGTTTCGCCCTGACCTTGCTCGAGCCACAATTGCAGAATTGATCTCGCTGGAGTTTCGCTGGGCAGTCGCTCGAGTTTCGCCAGCACCTCGCTCGAGCGACGGTGTTATCTGGCCATTGGTAATTTTAATGCCTCGCGAATTTTTAACGCTTTATATTTTCAAATTTGACCTACTATATAAAGAAAACGTCTGATTTTCATTAAATACTTTTGGAAAACATTCAAACAAGAACTTCTTTTAACTTCCAAAGGATTTAAAGCCAAACATTCGATCTTTCTCATCTTTTGATTCTCATGATTTTTGAATAAAAACATCAACCATCACAAAACCAAAAACACCCCTTCATATCTCCATATCAACTTCCAGAAGATCATCTATTTGAAGATCCGGGAAAGAAATTGCTTGAAGAGCTGGAGTGCTTGGTGATTCACGGGAAGTAGAAGATATTCAAGGCTGGGATTTTGGCGCAGATCTGCAGAATCTAGGAGAGCTTTGGTTGATACAGTAAGGAGATCAGAGAATTGTTAGTTTCAATTATGTCTGGCGTACTGTAAGTCAATATTTTCGATAGTGGATCTCTACTGGCTTGTGCCCGGAGTTTTTACCCAGTTGGGTTTTCTCCGTCAGCATTTTGTTTTTACTGCTTTTTGTTATTTATTTTTCAACCGGTAATTCAACTTAGATAGATAAAGTATGTGAATGAATCTAGGCAATACATAATTTATGTGACTTGTTGCATAAGTTAATTAATTGTTTCAATTCCTCATAAACACCTATTTACCCCCTTTCTAGGTGTTGGTTGGGTCGAACTATATCTTTTTCAAGTGGTATCAGAGTCAAATCTCGAGTCCTGACCCATAGTTGTCTAGAATCACTTTCTGTACCTCCATATTTTGACGGAAGTAATTATGTCTATTGGAAAGTTAGAATGCCTGTGTTTCTTAAATTTTTAGATGAGCATGTTTGGGTAAGTGTGCAAAATGGTTGGAAACCTCCCTCTACTATCGTATCAGGAACTATTAACCTTACTGACATATCACTGTGGACTAAAGATGAAATAGCTGAGTGTAATTAGAATAGCAAGGGTCTTCATGCCCGGTTTATGGCCGTGTCTCCCGAAGAGTTTAGGAGAGTGTCAATGTGTGAAACTGCTAAAGAGGTTTGGGACATTCTTGAAACTACACATGAGGGAACTAAAACGGTAAAGAACTTTAAGCTACAAATGCTAACTTCTAGGTTTGAAGAAGTGAGAATGAAGGATGATGAAACGTTTGACGAATTCTATGCTAAATTGAATGACATTGTCAATTCTAGCTTCAATCTAGGTGAGAAAACTCCCGAGTCTAAAACTGTGAGAAAAGTGCTTAGGTCCTTGCCCGAGAGATTTAGGCCTAAAGTCACTGCCATTGAGGAAAGTAAGGACCTAGATGAAGTTAAAATTGAAGAACTGGTAGGATCGTTGCAAACGTATGAACTCACTATTACACAACCTAAGAAAGGAAAGTCCATAGCCCTAAAATCCATCAAAGAAGATGAATCTTCTGATATTGAGTCACTTAGGGACGAGGAAATTGCATACTTTGTTAAGAAATTCCAAAAAGTTCTCAAGAATAGGAGAAAACCTCAAGATAAAAAGAGTGAAGCCCCTAGCAGATTCACAAAAGCAAAAACTGTAACGTTTAACAATAAAGGGTCGAGTGATAAACCATGTTTGGTTAGGTGTCATGAGTGTCAAGGTAGAGGTCACTATAGGAATCAATGCCCTAGTTATAAGAAGAACCAAAGAAAAGGGAAAGGTAAGGTCTTAGTTGTCTCACTTACAGATAATGAATCTGAGACCAGTGATAGACATAATTCTTCTAGTAGTGAGGATGAAGGAAACTATATGGCATTTGTATTGACTGTTAAGAGTGAATTTGATAAGCAGAGTGACAAGGTTGAGGAAGAACTTCCAAACGATTATTCTAGTAGTAAGGATGAGGATGAGATAGACATACAAGAAGCTTATCAACTTTTATTTAAAGAGTCTTAGAATCAAAAAGGTCAATAAAGTCCTACTCAAAAAGTTGATGAACTTGAAAGAGAAAAAGAGAAAATTGCTAGTAATTTTTAGGATTCTCTTAAGAGTGGTAGTGAGTTAAAGTGTGTCAATGAGAAGTTAGAGGACAAGATTAAGACTTTGACTAGTGAATTGGAGAAATCTAATGCTCATCTTCAGACTTTCGTGATTAGGACTAAGAAATTGGACAATATCTTGGGAATGAATAAGCCTGCAGGAGATAGGAAGGGTCTAGGATATGTTGAGAGTAATACACATGTTGTTGGACCTTCTAAAACAGTTTTTGTTTCTGCCTCTAAGAAAGCTAATGCTGTTAGTAGTTCAAATAAGGGTAAGAATGGTCCGAGAGAACAGAGTCATCAATCACGTAGGAACTCCATACCTAGATACCCACAGCCACGTACCTTTGAGCCTAGGTTCATTCCCACCTGTCACCACTTTGGAGCTCTAGGACACACTAGACCTAGATGCTATAAGTTAGGTAATGAGCGTAGAAATCAGAACATTCCTAGTCAGGTTAGCTTTCTGTCTAATCAGGTTAGTCATTTGACTGAGATGCTTACTAAGCTTACTAGGAGTACTTTATCATCTAAGAAAGTTTGGGTCAAAAAGGGCGATCTAGCTAGACATTCAGGTCAAGAAAAGTGTTTCGTTGCTCATGTTGCATTAAAAGCCCAAAATTACAATATGTGGTACCTAGATAGTGCATGTTCTAGGCATATGTGTAGTAATAAGGCTTTATTCACTACTCTTGATGAATGTAACGGTGGTATGGTTACTTTGGAGATGGGGGTTCTGCACCTATTCTTGGCAAAGGTACTGTACAAATGCATGGCTTACCTGTGATCTCTAATGTGCTTTATGTGGAGGTTTAAAATCTATCTTGTTAAGTATTAGTCAAATTTGTGATGCCGATTTTGAGGTGAGCTTTGTGCAAAAGAGATGTACTATGTATGATTCGTCTGGTGGGGTGGTTCTTGAAGGGGTTAGAACAACTGATTATTGTTATGGAGTCTTGCCTAATTCTAACTATGTGTGTAGGAGTGCTAAAATTGATGTGAGTGAACTCTGGCACAAAAGGTTAGGTCACTTGAACCATAAGAGTCTAGTACAACTAGCTAAGAAAGAGTTGGTAGATGGTTTGTCTAAGATAAGTCCTAGTGAAAATGCTGTGTGTGGACCATGTCAACTAGGTAAACAACTTAAGGAAAACCATAAGAAGACTTCTAAAATTCTGACCAAAAGACCTCTAGAATTGATACACATGGATTTAATGGGACCATCTAGGACTGAGAGTTTAGGAGGTAAGCGATACATTCTAGTTGTGGTAGATGACTTCTCGAAGTTCACATGGATAGAATTGCTTAGGAAAAAATCTGATGCATGTGATCTCATAAAGTCTTTGTGCAAACAGCTTAGCAATGAACTAAATCTCAAAGTGTCTGGAATGCATAGTGACCATGGAAAGGAGTTCGAGAACTTTAATCTCGAAAGTTTCTGCATGGATGAAGGCATATTACATGAGTTCTCTTCCCCTATCACTCCTCAACAAAATGGCTACTGTTAAGTACTTTCGAGTGTTTGGGAGTAAGTGCTACATTTTGTGTGATAGAGAGAACTTGAGTAAGTTTGAATCGAAGAGTGATGAAGGAATCTTCTTAGGGTACTCTAGAAATAGCCGAGCATTTAGGGTGTATAACTTACGTACTCGTGTGGTGATGGAGTCAGTAAATGTTGTGATAGATGATGCTGTAAGTGAGGGGGAGAGTGTTGAAAATTGTGATAGAGATGGTGATCTTATAAGTTCTAGTGATCCTACTGAGCCATCTATGTCTGAATCATCTCTTGGGAAACCTGAAACACCTGAAAAGAAAACACTTCCCCAAGATCGAGATAAAGATCCTAAGGAACCATCGACTAGGGTTAAGTCTAATCATCCTAAGGACAATATCATTGGGGATCTAGATGAAGGTATGAGGCTTCATAAGAGAGTACTGAACAATCTAGCATACACTAGCTATGTATCTCAGGTAGAACCTAAGAAAGTTGAAGAGGCCCTTGGTGATGAGTGCTAGGAGGATGCGATACATGAGGAGCTCAATCAATTTGCTAGGAACAATGTGTGGATCTTAGTTCCCAGACCTGAGAATTGTAATGTTATTGGTACTAAATGGATCTTTAAGAATAAGACAGATGACCAAGGTACTATAATTAGGAATAAGGCTAGATTAGTTGCTCAGGGTTATACTCAAGTTGAAGGAATTGATTTTGATGAGACTTTTGCCCCTGTTGCACGACTTGAGTCTATTCGGATTCTGCTTGCTGTTGCTTGTACCTTAGGGTTCAAGTTGCATCAAATGGACGTTAAAAGTGCCTTCTTGAATGGACTTCTTTAAGAAGAAGTCCATGTCGAACAACCAAAAGGATTTGTAGATCCTAAATTTTCCCACTATGTCTACAAACTACACAAAGCCCTCTATGGTCTAAAGCAAGCTCCTAGAGGTTGGTATGAGAGACTTACATCATACCTTAAAGAACATGGATTCTCTCGAGGTGGTGCAGATAGGACCTTATTTATTAGACATGTTGATGAAACTATCACCATTGCTCAGATTTATGTTGATGACATTATTTTTGGCTCTCCTCTTGAGTCTTTAGCTTATGAGTTTGCTGAGTGTTTGAAGCAAGAATTTGAGATGAGTATGGTTGGGGAGTTGAGTTATTTCCTTGGACTTCAGGTAAGACAGACAGAGGATGGACTGTTCATTTCACAGTCTAAGTGTGCTAAGGATCTAGTTAAGCGCTTTGGGCTAGATAGTAAGAAGCATACTAGGACACCTATGAGTACTAGCTTGAAGCTAGGTCGTGATCCTTCAGGTAAGATTGTAGATCCTTCCCTATATCGAAGCATTATAGGTAGTCTTCTTTATCTCACAGCTACTAGACCTGACATTACTTTTAGTGTTGGTGTGTGTGCTCGATTTCAGACAGATCCAAAAGAATCACACTTAAGCTCTGTTAGACGCATCATTAGATATGTGAGTGGTACAGTTGATCTAAGGATATTCTATTCTAGGAATTCCAATCTTGACTTGGCTGGTTACTCCGACGCCGATTGGGCCGGGAACGCAGATGATAGGAAAAGTACGACATGGGGTTGTTTTTACATGGGTAGCAGTCTCGTAGCCTGGTTAAGTAAGAAACAGAATTCTATATCTCTATCCATGGCAGAGGCCGAATACATAGCTGCAGTGAGTTGCTGCACTCAGCTTCTCTGGATGAAGCAGATGCTGAGTGATTATGGGATTAGTCAAGGGACCATGACTATTTTCTGTGATAATACAAGTGCTATAAATATTTCTAAGAATCCCATTCAACACTCTCGAACGAAACATATAGACATACGACATCATTTTATTCGTGAGCTTGTTGAATCACATGTAATCTCCCTCGACCATGTCTCTACTAATAATCAATTGGCTGATCTACTTACGAAACCACTAAACAGATTGAGGTTTTAGTCGCTTCAGACGGTTGTTGGTGTTTGCTCACCTATCTGATCATGGATTCATGCATGTTCATGCATTCATCACATGTGAGTGTGTGATGCATTTTTTTTGTAAGTTTAGTCTTCTTTTGTGTGTTATATTCGTGTGTTTAAATAAAAAAATAAAAATAAAAATAAGAATAATAAAATTATATAAAAAAAAAATTTTGGGCCTTTATGTAACGATTATGGCATTTGCATTAAAGATCAAACTCTATTTTTCTTCATATGTACGAGTCTGAGGTTCCATCATTGTTCATTTTTTGATTGTGGAGTTCTGGGTATATGACTCGTCATTCATTTATACACAGCACACACTGTAGTCCTGTAAGTGAGTCTTGACCGCATGGGTGAGATTTGGGATGGTGTTCTTCTATGATTGGGGTTGTATGTACATTTGACGTGATCTGGGACGAGTGTAACCTAATCAATATTGTCTTTCCCCAATTTTATTTTGTTATTTGTTGAACTTATGACTATCTTTGGGGCCTACTTGACTGAAACAATTAAGCCTGAGGGGTTTCTAACATGGTGCCCTTTGGTCGTCTGACTTGGGAATCACCGGCCCAAAGTTCGTTACAGGGGTCATTTATGTTGCCTAATGAGGATTTCATTGCACTTAAGTTCTTTTGTTATTCTTATTTTAAAAAAAAATGGAATCATACAGTTAGGGGGAGTAAAATTGTGACAATCATAATAATTGATGTAGGTCCTCATGGAATTGAATTTGACTGTCACTTGGTAGACATTCACCTTTGTCTGGTTGTTTTCACGTGTCCTTTCTCACTAATTTAAGGTTTTGAGTCTAACTTGCATGGGCTACGTGGCACGTTTCACGATGATGTTCTGTATACACTTTCCTCCACAGGATTCTGAACTATGTGTGGACTTACGATTTGTCTACGTGCTGGTTGTCGGGTTTGTGATTTTATGCTCATTGTTGGTTTCGATTGCATATTTGGTTCCATGCTATTTTTTTTTGTTTTTTTTTTTTGGATTATTTTCCACTATTACGTAGTTCGCTTGTTTTTGAAAATACATGGTTTAGGGCAAATTTCGTAATTTGTTGAACATTGTGCCGTGTTTCTTAAAATTCAAATTTCTAGTGCTATTTTTGACATTTAGTTTCTCGCTCGAGTTTCGCCTAGCCTTCGCTCGAGCTACAAAAGCAGTTTGCTTGTCGCCCGAATCTCGCTAAGGCCTCGCTCGAGCGACAAGTCAATTTTAAAAGGTCCTGTTTCATTTTTTCGCGCAACTTCTTCCATTTCACTCTTGTTTTTTCGTTTCTTCTTGACTTCTTCCATATTTCGTCCATTGATCACATAAATTTGGGGCCCTAAAACAATTATTCTTCCGGATTTCCATTGCTACACATAAAATTGAGGTATTTTTTTCTTTTTTCGTTTTTTTTCTTTCATTGTCCTCGTGTGTTTTGCTTCTTTTTGTGTTCTTACTTGATTGTTCCTTCATTAATGTAGGCTTCGTCCTTCCTTTGTTTCATTGGATGTTATTTCACATGTTTTGCATCACGATTTCCATTGAATTGTTCGTTTTTCATTCATTTGGTTATGTGGTTTTCATGTTTTTCTTCCATTTTCATTAAGTCCGTTCTTGCATTTTGTTACTCCGTTTCTTGTGTGGTTTGTTTCATTTTAAAGAGCATGTTTTCTAGTTTGTGGGACTGTACTTGGTTGTGTGGTTGCGTCTCGTATGTACTTGGAATTGTGTACCAAAGTGATGCACGCCACATGTTCGATGCAAGTCCATAGTTATATGTTTTTTTTGTTTCCTTCATTTTTGTGCTTCTATTTTCTTTCTTTCCTTTCCGTCGTTGTTTCATTGCCCTCTCGTGTCATGTTGAGTGTTTTTACACATATTTTTGGTGTATATTTACATCATGCTTCGTTTGCTCTACGGGTCGTTCACATTTTTCGATGCATCTCTTTCATGCCTCGTTTGAGTGTGCAGTGTTTCACATCATAGTGCATCGTACCACATGCATTCTTCATCTTACTTATTAGTTCCGTCTCTCCGTATGCCAGATGGCCCGTAACCGTTCTCGATCCTCTGCACTGCCAGTTGGTGGTTCGACGTCGTATAGTCGTTCCAGATTCATTTCTGCTACAGCTCAGGAGGTCTTCACTTCTCAGTTCTCCTTACGCCCCGTTCTCAAGGAGCGTGAGGTAATCTTATCTGACCTTCCTGTTGATATCGTAGCCATTTTTGTTTCTCGGGATTGGGGGCCCCTTCTTGTTTGTCTTTCACCTCCTCCCCCACTCCTCGTTCAGGAATTCTATGCTAATATTCATGATATAGACGGCTCGTCTTTTTGGGTTACTCTTAGAGGTCATTCTTTTAGGGTTACTCCGTCGACTGTAGCTCATGCTTTAGGTATACCTCAGATTACCCATCCAACTTATCCCTATATTTTACCTGCTTTTATTTCAACCGATGCTCTTGTTCGGTCGATGCTTTTGAACACCCCGTCTATCGGGGAGCCTTCGACGATGGTCACGGGGTCATTACCTACTGATCGTCAGGTGTTGTTGCGCATAGTGTGTACAAACCTGTGGTCGGTTGTCCATACCTCTTCATTACCTATGGTGCGTGCCCATTTTCTTTATGCCCTTCTTCATGGGGACTCGATCGACTTTCTTAGTTTTGTGTGCCAGAATATTCTGGCTTCATTTCGTACTCCTGGGAGTCGGATCGGGTTGCCTTATGCTTGCTTGATTCATAGGGTTGCTTTGTCGTTGGGTGCTTCCTTTCTAGAGGGTTCGACTTGTCACATAGGACGTCCGATAGGACAGCAGACCATTCATCAGAGTCGATCTCATGTATCATCATCTTCCTCTTCTACTCATGCTACAAGTCAGGCAGCGGCCGTTGATGTTTTTGATATTTCGGAGCCCTTTGATCCTATTACTGAGATTCTTACTGGGGGTTCCCGTGTGTTTCTCCTGCCTCGTACGGATTTTCCTTCGGCCATTCCACTTAGTTCTACCTTTCCTTCGACATCTACTTCTGCTCCTGGGGTGGCTGCTTTGCTCGTTGACCCCATGGTGACGCTTATGGGACAGATGTCTACTTTGGTCGAGCAACAGGCTCGTATGATGGCAGAGATCACGCAGTTACGTGCTGCGTCGGAGCGTCAGTCAGCTGAGCTTTCTTCTATTCGCCGTGCCCTTGCAGTGTGTCAGTGTCATTTGCGTTGGATTCGTGATAGTATGGAGGAGGACACGAGTGCTGAGAGCGGAGCTGAGTCTTCAGATGTTGGAGGTGCTGCCTCGTAGTTAGTTAGTTAATTGTTTTGATCCTTTGTCCTTTGTGACAAAAAGGGGGAGTAGATATTTGGATAGATGATTGGATAGATAGATATCGATATTTGGATAGATAGATATAAATTTTTTGGTGACTAGATTAAGTTTTTGATGTTTTGGCAATACTAATGTATGTTTTTGGTGTTTTTGACTTACATTATTATTGCTTCTTAATCTGGTTAATGATATATGATCTATTTCTTGTTTTTATTTACTGTTTCCATTTCACATGCTTTTACACTTGGTATTTGAGTTTTTGATTTTCAGGAAACAGGTTCAACAAGAGATTGCTAATTTGGTTGAATAGATAGGTTGTTTGGAGTCATGTCTATTTCTTCCTTGACTGTCATATGTATTTTTGTCACAGAATGCCAAAGAGGGAGTTTGTTAGGAAAATGTGTAATTGGCAATCTGTGACCAAAGGACCTATTTGTCATGTTTGTAAAGTCAGGGACAAAATTATAAAGGTCTAATAGTTCAGGGACTAGAGTTGCAATTTAATAAATTTCATAGCATAGGTCTAGGGTAAAGTGGGATGCTTTGAAGATGCAAATGGCGCGTTGATTTCGCTAGAGTTTCGCCCTGACCTTGCTCGAGCCAAAATTGTAGAACTGATCTCACTGGAGTTTCGTTGGGCAGTCGTTCGAGCGAAGAGTGAGATTTTGTTGGGCAGTCGTTCGAGCGAAGGTGCGTCGCTCGAGTTTCCCCAGCACCTTGCTCGAGCGACGGTGTTATCTGGCCATTGGTAATTTTAATGCCTCGCGAATTTTTAACACTCCATATTTCCAAATTTGACCTACTATATAAACAAAACGTCCGATTTTCATTAAATACTTTTGGAAAACATTCAAACAAGAACTTCTTTTAACTTCCAAAGGATTTAGAGCCAAACATTCGATCTTTCTCATCTTTTGATTCTCATGATTTTTGAATAAAAACATCAACCATCAACCAAAAACACCCCTTCATATCTCCATATCAACTTCCAGAAGATCATTTGTTTGAAGATCCAGGAAGGAAATTGCTTGAAGAGCTGGAATGCTTGGTGATTCACGGGAAGTAGAAGATATTCAAGGTTGGGATTTTGGCGCAGATCTGCAGAATTCAGGAGAGCTTTGGTTGATACAGTAAGGAGGTCAGAGAATTGTTAGTTTCAATTATGTCTGGCGTACTGTAAGTCAATATCTTCGATAGCGAATCTCTACTGGCTTGTGCCCGGAGTTTTTACCCAGTTGGATTTTCTCCGTCAACATTTTGTGGTGTTTTTACTTTTTTTGTTATTTATTTTTCAACCGGTAATTCAACTTAAGTAGATAAAGTATGTGAATGAATCTAGACAATGCATAATTTATGTGACTTGTTACATAAGTTAATTAATTATTTTAATTCCACATAAACACCTATTCACCCCCCTTCTAGGTGTTGATTGGGTCGAACTATATCTTTTTCATTCTATCTTCATTTGACAAGCCTTCATTGAATTGGTTTAAACCCAACGAAGGGTAAACATATTTTTCCCACAGAATATTCGGGCCACTAGAAATCAAAACCCTAAGAGGATGAAAAGTTCTCAAACCATGTTGCAAATAGTTCAATCCCACCAACCTCCAAAGCATAGTATTGTGGATTTTGTTTTTAGTAGACACAAAAATTA